TATATATATATATATATATATGCTTGGGCTATTTGTCTTTTGTTTTTTTGGTGGGGGGGTCATATCCTCATTGGGCGTAACCGACTTTCTTTAAAAATAATGATGATAATCGTGTGATTTATAAAAAAAAAAAAAAAAAAAATCACCCGACCATGAAATGATTCACAGCAAGAAAATCCACTGATTTAGCTTGGTGATTAGGCTTCGAATCTGATATTCGAGAGGTCTTATATTTTAAGTAAGCCTTTCGTCTGTTGATTTTACTGCTTACAGCTTTTCTTCGCTTAACGACCAGGTTACATTCCAACGAGGTTTTTTAAGGTAAGGTTCTCCCTGTAGAGGTTCCAGAGCCACTCGAAGTAAAGGGTTACGTTAAGGGATATTTCATATGAATTGGAGGGTAATATAACTGTTAACTCTAAACATGAACTGGTTAGGATTGTAGTGATCGAGGAAACACCCCCTTGGGAGTGTGTCCCAGAGCAGTGTTTCTCGGAAGCTGTTCGAGCGGAACTACTTCTCACCAATGGAATACGGAGGGGGTTGCTACTATCTAAGTGGCATGGCGGGCTCTAGCCGTGACGTTTAGACCTGACGGAACCAAGGAATATAGTTCGTTCGAGCACTTTCCATAGTTGTAGTGACAGAGCAGTGAGACTCGCCATACTCCGACTGTGAGAGATGCTGGAGAGTGCATTTCACACTAGGTGTTTTATTGGTTTCTTTTAAGTGCCAGAAATATTACGTGAATATTATTGTGAATCCGTTATTTATTTATCCTAAAAAGAACTTTGATATTGGTTAAACCGTTTTTTTGAACTCATGTCTTGTGCATCCAATGTAGACCTTTACGTTGATTGGATCCTCAATGAGATATTGCATTCGTATACTATTGATTCAGTGCGACATGTATTATTAAGAGGACAGTTATGAAGATTTCTCCAGCTACATAATTTTTGTTTATCTTCATCTCTTTATTATTATACTATCTAAATTTATTTGGTCTAAGTGTTTATTCAAGATATTAACACTATGTTTCTTAAGTTTTCAGTACAACTGTAACTTAATTTTAGCGTATTTTTATTGAAAATAATACTGAGTTTACTATCTTTAGGAAAATGTTTAACGATTAATGCAAGGAATTTTCGTCCTAATTTGTTCTTTACCATTTGATTGTATAGGGGTATATACCAAATTACTTTTCTACTTCTATTTTTTCTATGCTTTCTATTTTTTATGTAAGTTAACTTTGGGCTTTTGTAGACATTATCTTTTAGAGCTTTATTATAGAAATGTATATGTTCATAGAAAATCTTATTTGCTGAAATTGTACTTGTTCTCTTTTCGATAGATAAATGTATATGATTAATTATAGATGGAGGATGATTAGATTTAGGCTGTATGTACAAAAGATTTGTATTGTTTTTTTTTTAATAAGGTATGTATACATTTTTCATTAAATCTAATGTTATATCAAAGAAAATATATGCGTTAAGCCTCTTGGCCGTTTTATTTTTGTGTAAATGTGGTAGCATAGTAATTTTGTGTTCAATCCCTAGGCCGGCTAATTCAGCCTTATATTCAATGGAATCATGACGAGTAATTACTAAACAGTTCAAACATCGAGCAAGACAATATCCTGAGATATGGAAAAGGAAGCCAGAACAGTCTATCGGTTGAATAAATGGTTCAGTTCGAAATTTTCCGAATGTTATCGGATCGACAGACACCTTAAGAAGACCAGAGAGCACAACAACTAAAACTTTCTGATGACAACAAAGATGAGGACATTAGTCTGTCTCCTACACGAAACAGTCATATAACCTGACGTGCTATACCATTTAGCTACAGAGGAAGCGTCTTGTAAGCAAGGTCGAATTAGTGCTTTTAAACTACTAAGTTCATTTGAACGTTCGAGAGAAATCATGGGAAATTTGTAGTTTAAAACCAGTAATTCGACCTTGCTAACCAGACGCTTTCTCTGTAGATAAATATTATTCTCTCTATAAATAAGTCCACATGCGAGAAATTCAGACGAAAACCGCCCTAATGTTGGTTGTTATATGAACAGCGTTTCAGCTAACATTCTCCAACTTTCTTCAGGTGATTGTCTTATTCGGTAAGGTTTTGGAACTCTACTCTTTATTCAGTTTTCCTCAATTCATTGCCCACGCGAGAGGACAAAGGACATCAACCGCGTCTCAGTTCGTCTTATTGATATTGCTTCTACCGCCACAGTGTGAAATACAGGAGATCGATACAATATCTCATCTAAAATGGTCAGCTGAAACAGATCAATGTAGTTCAATGGATTGAATAATGGTATTAATCAGAAATTCCAATGTTATCGAATACAGTAGACACACAGATGGTTAAAAGGTACAATGGAAAAAATGATTTGAATATGATAACCAAGATGCGGGGGAGGGTCCTAGATTTATTACTTACCATTAATATTGCACTAAATTCACAGTGCGTGGCAATATCATGTGCTATATGCCCCTACTAACAAGCACAGGGCTAACGCAGTCGTGGGTGAAGGCCCATTCCACTACACAAATGGCAAAGGGAAAGCCTGCGTCCAGCAAAAAGACTTTCGCAGGCAGATTAAGCAAGTCACGAACTAACGCGTTAACCCACTAGGATTAGTTCGTTGGTACTAATACGAAAAACTGCTCGGCCCGGAGGCTAGGATCAAAGTGTAGTACGCTGCCTTTGTGAGCCTCCGAGTCGGCCTCTGTCGAACTCTCTGCATTAGCAGAGAGGAACCCGGACGAAGCCCTTGCCGAAGGGCAAGGTTTCGTTCGGGGAGGTAGACAGGGCCTGAACCCGTCTAGGCGGGTTCAAAAAGGCTATATTTTTGGCCAAGCCTACGGTCTCGGGGATACCCACATTAAACCGGCCTTGTGCCACATTCTATCCTCGTGGGTGGATCGATAAATACTAATACGAAAAGTTGAGAGAAAAGTATATCCAAAGACATGGACCGCGAAACGAAAACTTACATCAGTGCATTCAACAAAGGGATATTAATACCATGTGTTAAGAAAATCTATTTTTATGAATGAAACTTCTCAGAGTTCTGGGTCATTTGATGGCGTCGGATGACCTTACAAAGGGGAATACTGTCATCCTGGTATTAGTATCTTTTTGGCGCCAAAATCAAGCGAGTTGGCTCGCAAAGACAGTTATTGGAGAAATCTGCTTCAGAGCAGTGGGTTTTCTACCATTCGCTGACGTGATCTGTAAACTATGCCACAAAAAAAAAAAACAGAAAATCCCGACTGTGGTTATTTTGAAGTATTTCTAACTTTTTGCTGATAAGCCTTTGTTATTTTTTCCTTTTTAGCCACTGGCCATAATCACTAAAATTGTAATAAAACCCTTTTTTGGTTGCTATAAAACTTAGTTGATCTTCTATCGTTCCCTTTATTTCTCTTTCTCTTATTTTTTCTGTCACACACGTGACAGTACTACCTGCCACATGAAGGGGCCATCGGCAACTAATCCGGTTCCCCAACCAGGCTTTTCCGTGAGAAGTAGCTAGACACCAAGCGGATAAACCTTGTTTTAGAGTCATCTAGAACAATGGATCAGATTGGGTTTCATGGACATCAGTGCGACGATGACTTGACACAGCTGAGCGGAGGGATTCCTAGACTGAATTCAAGAGCGAAGGTAGAGAGTTCCACAGATGGAATCAATGGACACGTGCCCGTGACCAAAGTGAACTTTCAAGTTGGAGGAAATCGGTTGTGATCCGATTTTGAGAGAGACGGACTCCGTCAGGTCTAATTACCAATACACGCCATACATGAATGAATACATTTTCGACTTTCAACCCAGATATGCGGATGGGACATATCATGTGGTCAGCTGTGAAGCCACCCTAAACAACATCCTGCCATGAGAATAATGCTGAGGATCAGTACTAAATTCAATGAAAGTTACCCAACAAGATGCCTGAAGAAGGTTTGATAACAAAATGCCTGAAACGTTGTGATAACAACAAAGATGTGGATATTTAGTTTAAATGAATTTTTGTTTTTACACTGAGGTTCACCTATACAAGACCCGGGAGCCACTCGAGGTAGAGAGTTATATAGAAGGCTTGGACAAGTTAAGATTGTAGTGATCGGGAAAACATCCTGTTGGCAGTCATTTCCACAGAGCAATGGTTCACGGGAAGAAGCTGCTGGAGTGGAATGAAGGTAGTGCGTGGCATGGTGAGTCTTGGACATGAAGGTTAGAATTGGTGGAACCAAAGAATGTAGTTCGGCTGAGTACTTTTCATGGAAATGATAGTACTAACTCCATCCCAGGAATTACTGTACTGTACTGATGCGGCATTCACCCTGGGCGGATTGAGCCGGCTTCTTCCTGTTATGAGAAGAAGATTCTTGGGATAAATTACAGAAGTAGGGTACCCAGGCCTACTCGGATAACGTTCTTGCTTGCCGCGAGGTTCCCACAGACGCAGAGACAGGAACGACCAGAAGCCGCCGGTTGCCGATGCAGACGCTCCTTGGATTTTCACCAGAGCCCTTGTTAGCCGGCGTGTGTGTCAGACCTGTCCGCCTTGGGTGGCCCTACCAGGAACGAAGTTCCGGGCGGCATAGCTCTGACACTACCGTTTACCCCCCCCCCATCCCCGGACTGTGAGGTAAGGGTTGGATTTTGGGAATTCAGACAGGGGGAAAAAGTAAAAGTTTGACGAGCAGCTTCTGTCTCTCGATTCTGCCAGCCTAGATTTGCGCACCTCAAGACGGTGTAACGGTTAGCAATCGTGTTTTGCTAGAACAATTACGACTGAGTAGCGAGTTCGATCCCCACAGGGTGCCCCCTACTTTTGGCCTTGTAACACATCTAGGCTACGCCTGGAAAGTCACTATCGCAGGCCTAGCTTCTAGGATTGCGAAGAAAAGGGATTATCACATTTGCTGACATGTTTTTCCAAGAATCTCTTTACGGATTACGAACCATTACAGACTACCTGGGATTACGGCCACATCACGCTGGAACACCGGTCCCCATACGAACATACAGGTTAAGCAACGTCGATCCTGGTTAGTACCTAGATAGATGACCGCTTTGGAATACCAAGTACTGTAAGCTTGGACGTGCTGGTGGGGTAATGGCCCGGAATTGTTACTCGGAGAGCCGAGTTCAAATTCCCGTTGGGTTCGTCATATTCACTTAAGAGCAAATAACATCTTCCCCCAGCTATGAATTAATTAGTAAGACTTGTTGAGATGATGATTTAGAATCATTATCTCAACAAATAAAAGAAAAACATTGTTACAATTTAAAAACACGTTCTGGCTTTAAATAACTTGCAAAGTAAGAATCCACCTCTTCTCCCCATAGCTATGGGTTAATTAGTAAGACTGGTATCAGTAAAACTATTATTATATCAACAACAAAAACAAAAATAAAATAAATAAAATTGCGTACTAAATATTTAGATTTCGGCACTAAATAACCTACAGAGATGTTGATATGCCACTAAACAAAAAAAACCAACAACACATCTCACCTCGTAACAGAACAACTGGAATATTACACTTCGCCTCCTATCCGTAATACCAGTTCCTTATTACAGTTTAAAATTTATATCCCCCTCCTTAAATGTCCATTTTAAATGTAGGCGATCATGGCTCTTTACAGCTTCCTTTTGGTTTTATTACAAACAAACTTTACAGTGTCATGAATGTTCTTGGGAATATAGATGATACTTTCCCGTAGCTTCTGAATTCAGAACACTTCTAGACTGGGCAACTAGTCTACCCAGAAAAAGAGCACATAAAAAGACCCTGTTCATAATTGAGAGCGAGGAAAAATAGTTTCATGCCTGTCCCAAAAGTATTGGCGCTAAGTGAACGTAAACTTTGCTGGCTGATGTTTGAATTCGACTCTGAGATTATTTTCCCTGTACCGTTAACCATTACGCTACCCACAATTCCTAAAATTTATACACATTCCCACAAACATATAAGTATAAAAGATTCTTGATATATTACATTTTTTAGTATCGGATATTCACTCGTTTTGTCGAATTATAAAATAACTTTTCATAATTTAACAATGGATGATGTTTGTTTTAAGGAATGTAAAACATTAAAAACTTTGATAACGGAAGTTATAAATTTTAGAGATTACAAACAATCAAAAATTAAAAGTTGTGTATTTCTCGACAGTCTTGTATCCAATGATTTAGTCTGCTGAGTTATAGAAAGATTCGAAGCCAATCTTATTTTAAATTACACCAGAAAATCTTTAAAACAAACAAAAAAAAAAAAAAAACTTTAAAATATCTGCGTAATGTAAGGTTTTAAACTGTATCTCGTTTAATATTTGATTGAATCCGACAGTGTCGTTGTTTCTGTAAATAACACGAGTAAATTCAAAATTTCCCAAAGAATAATCAGCAGTATTATTGTTCCAGCTCTAAAACCTAGACTTTATGAATTTAAGCGCAGTACCAGACTGGAGTCAAGATCTCATCAATTTAAAGTTGAGGTGGCTAGATGTCGTCGTTAGTTATAAGCTAACAGTTTCTTTTCTCGCTCTTCTCGCTCCTGTAACTCACTTCCGGCTCCATGTTTTTCAGCCAACCCTAATCCGCAAAGATTTCAACGCAATGTCAATCGCTATCTATTGTTCTTTTGATTATTCTTTCCTCTTCCTGCTCATTATTAATTTTTCTCTTCCTAATTCTTCCACATCCTGTAACACTAATTCTTAGTGGTTTTACTGCCTTACATGGGGTGATACTGATTACAAAAAAAAGCACTGGAGATAATTAATAAAACTGGGAAACATCTTACCTTGAATAGCTCTTTGACGGTTAAAACACGGAGAGGTTTTGTCAAATAATATTAAAAAAAAAATGGAAAAAATATCGGCTCCATCCTGTTAGATAGGCTGGTGTTTCCCACTATTATTTCCCCATTTTACGTAAAATAAGATTCGATGGCAAATCCGTTATAATTTTGAACGACAGACAGTCGTGAATTCCACACGCGGCTGATTAAAACGTCATCAGAATTCGACGAGAGATTTTGTTCTTCGACTAATATAAACAATATAATATCATTTATATTTTAATTACAAACAGACACGAATATTTATTAGACTTTTACGGTAGGTCTTAAAATAATCTAAAATGCTCATTTATATCAGTAATAGTTATCAACTTGCATCTTGCAGACTATTTCACAGCGAGACGCCATTAGCTTCGACGAGAAAAATGCAATAGCGGCCTGTGAAATTAACCCACTAACCATTACGCGTAGGCGTGGATCTTGTTCTTTTTATGAATAAAAGCAAGTTGCGTATAAAGAAAGATGACTGGAAAGTGCTGGTCTTTGCTTCCCTGTCATTGACGAGCCTTCATAAATCCTTTTGACACGTCACATTTTTTTATTATTGAATAAGAAGAAGAAGAAAGAAGAAAGAAGGAGAAGAAAGAAAATCCAGATTTTTAAAGTATATGGCGTGGGGATAGAATAAATAACTCATACTTTACAATTTGATAAAAAAAAAAAAATAAATAAAACTGTGGCTGTGAAATACTGTTAAAAATTATTTACAGAATAATTGCGTTAATATCCGACATCACGACCAAAGTATAAATATGGCAGTAAAACGAAGGTAACAGGCCGAAACGTGTTAATGGTGGGAGATTATATAAAATAAATTCAGTGTGAGGCAGAAATACTTCCCACATAATGATAAGATACTAGCTACATGAAGACAATTGCCATTAATATCTTGCCATGATGTAGGAGGTATTTCTGCCGCACACTACTGGAGGAAGCAAAAATAAAGCGAAACGTCATCACTGGCTGCGAAAATGTGGTATTATGGTACATAATATGGAATGGAATGGAGAGGGATGTGTTCTTGTGGTGAGTGAATCAACTGTTAGAGTGAATGGGTCGTGAAACGTATTATCTAGGTACAGGATAGACAGTCACGCTAGGCCTCTCTCTCATATATATATATATATATATATATATATATATATATATATATATAGCGAGTGTTTAGAACCTTACCATATTCTATTTGTCAAGAAAGATATTGCTGATGTTATCGTCCTGGAGTGGGGATAATCCCAGCGTGCGGCATCTTTGGAAAACGTAAGTGCACGTAAAAAGGGTTTTGTTATTAAATGAAATAAATATTTGTCAGCAAGACGAGCCGGCGAACATTTACTTTTTGAACAAGTCAAGTGCGGGAAGGTGTGTGAGGTCATGGAAACACGTGCAAAATTCACAACCGCTGCTGCTCACAGTAAAGAGCAAAGAACAAATAAATTAAGAAGTCATTGTGATAAGCATTTACTTTAATAAACAGTGATGATATTTATTTCCTTTGATACAGAAAATGTGGTACAAGGCCAAAGGAGGAAAGATAGCTAGCCTCAATCGCTAACTTAACGTACTATATTTTTCCTTACATAAACACGACACTGCCATGCATATCATTCTTACTATAGATAAATTGTACCGATGGAGACGAGTTAGTTAGGATTACACAGAGAAATTGTAGTATCATGGTATATCACAGTTTCTATGTAAACCTAACTAATCTCCATATGTAAAATTTATCTGTGGAGGCCGGAATAAATCATTTTTTAAAAATATTTGTTCAAAAATTCCTATTTACAAAGTTAAACAATGTAAGTAATAAACGCCCACCCCCCCCACACAACAATCTTAAATTATGGCAGAAACATCAGTTAAGCAGACAAAATTGATACGGGACTAAAAAAATTGAAGCAATCACACTACCAAACAATAACTCGATCACAGCAAACGCGAAATACGTATCGAAAATCCAAAAAGCATCCTGCATCTACTAACGATGTGACATCTGTTACCTAACGGGGTGGGAGTAATGTGGAAATAAACTAAATTAAAATTAAACAAAAATGATAAAGAGGCCGGTAAACACACACTCCCTAGCTAAGAAACCACAGAATAAAAATACTACTATAATCTACCCTGTTTTGGTTTGGGTTGCCTATTGTTCAGTCCAGAAGAACATGGATGAAACGCAAAGAAAGGCTGGAAATAGAAAGGATTTAAAAGGAAAAAAACAAATCAATTTTTCTGATTAGGAGCCTATAAAGTATTCGAATGATTTTGCGACGTTATAGACAGATACATACGAAATATATAGACATTTTTTTTAATTGTTTGAGTCCAGTAACGAGGCGTGTTAGCTATCAGAGAAGGAAATTAATTTTAAAATTTATAAGTTTTGAAAAAAAAATGCTTGTAAAGCTTAAAATAAAATCGAGAAACATGTTTTAAAAACATACTGCATATGGAATTTAATCACAAGATTCGATTCCGCTAGATTTGGTAAAGTAATTACTTACCTTGCCTTAATTTCTTTTCAAAGAAATCTCGTAATTACCGCCAACCGCAAGGTAAATTTTTGAAACTTGAAAGCAAGTCAAGAAAAACCAGGTTGTAACGAAACGAAATAAAGAAAAAAAACTTGTTCCACACATTAAACATAATTATCGAACAGCATACCCGGATGTTTAAAAAATGTACGGAAGCAATGACTAGGGTTTCTTTGGCCTTCTCGCTGCCACATGGGATAGGCACTTTTGTACAATCATCGCTCACAGTAGGTTCGAACCGCAAGCGTGGAACCTTTACTTGCCTTGGGAGATAACTAAATGAAAATAAACAACCTCATGAAAAATAGCCATTGCTTATAAAATATCCGTTCTTTTCCCTTTGATATTTTGTTTAAAAATATACATTCCTATTTGTCACGTCATACTTCACGAGTAACTTCACCCAGTGTGGGGCACATCACCCAGTAGAGGAGGGGAACAGTTCGACGCGGCGTAATTATTAACAAGTTTCTCTCGCTAGATCAATTACGACTGAATAGTGAGTTCGATCCTCACTGGGTGCTCACCACTTTCGGCCTTGTGCCACATCTAAGCTAAGCTTAGAACATCAACATCAACATTAGGGCACATCAACGGGGTAATGGTTTGCAAGCATGTCTCGCTAGATCAATTACGACTGAGTAGTGAGTTCGATCCTCACTGGGTCAGCTGCACTTAGAAAACCATCAAAT